GTTCCAGTTTCTCGCCGTGTCCTTGACCCCAGGTAACCTATATTTTTCCCTTGATGCCACGTGTTGTACAGGTCACGCCTACACATCTCTAGGGTTTTTCGTTTGGTTTCATCATATTTGATATTTTTATATGACATCCGTTTTACTTCCGGTGCCGTGTTATTTAGGCGTTGAGTTTAATTCTGTCATTGAGTGTTGACGCCGTGTGCATCCTTAAACAAGTAAGATCTTGGTAAATTGATATGACTTGATAAGATAATCGCCCGTAAATTTGAAAAGAGGATCGGTATTTTCAAAGCATATTAACAAACTGCGAGTTCATTTTGAGGACAGCTTACTATTAATCGGCATCGATATTTTTATGTGTTGTCTAACTCATTATGCGAACACCGTTTTAAAATATATTTTTATAGAAGAAATGGCACTGTCATTATTACCATGAAATATTTACAGTTTTAGTCTAAACTTTATTTTATTGATGTTAAATTACAATAGTACATGGTTATAAATACAGAAAAGGATCCAGAAGCAAGTACATAGTACTTATGTAAATCCGTCTCCTTATAGACATAACAGCAGCTATGGATCCGTACTGACAATATCATAATTCATATAAATATATATATATAAAGTATAACATGTGCAGGGAAAAGAGAGAGAAAGGGTGCAAGGATTTAAAGAGGGATGGGGATGATGTTTAATGGGGAAGCGATGGGCATCAAAACTGCATTGAGAGAACAAACGCTGATTGCATGAATGCAAACGATATTTGATGAAAGAGCACTGTGTCTGTTCATGTTGTGGAAAGTTTATGTAGTACATGTATGATATGAAAACAAATTAAAACTACAAATGCAATTCTTAACTGGAACTAATGATCTGTAACACTCTACGCAGACCAATGCGATATTCAAGTAATTGCAAGTATTACCACAACAAACAAGATAACTGGTATGAATGAAGTTAAATTTTCTTCAAAAACGTCTAGACTGAATGATTTTGAACATAGTCAAAAATAGTTTCATTTAAAGCTTACATTATAGTTAGGAGACTAAAACATTGGGTTCTCAGCAGCTGGTAGTTAGGACATTGGGTGAGGAAATGTTCTGTAGTTTCAGTAGACCGATTACATGAGCACATGGGACTATCAACTAAGTTTCGTGCAAACAGGTGAGTGTTTAAGGAGCTGCAGTTCATCCTAAGTCTTGCATGATGGATCTGACCTTGTCTGCTTCTGCAGTAGTAATAGTGCTGAGGAACAGAGAGAGTGTCGGCATTTAGAAATTTTTGAGGTTAGTAGTTGAGANTTCGTTTGGTTTCATCATATTTGATATTTTTATATGACATCCGTTTGACTTCCGGTGCCGTGTTTTTTTCAAGGCGTTGAGTTTAATTCTGTCATTGAGTGTTGACGCCGTGTGCATCCTTAAACAAGTAAGATCTTGGTAAATTGATATGACTTGATAAGATAATCGCCCGTAAATTTGAAAAGAGGATCGGTATTTTCAAAGCATATTAACAAACTGCGAGTTCATTTTGAGGACAGCTTACTATTAATCGGCATCGATATTTTTATGTGTTGTCTAACTCATTATGCGAACACCGTTTTAAAAGATTTTTTTTATAGAAGAACTGGCACTGTCATTATTACATGTACCATGAAATATTTACAGTTTTAGTTTAAACTTTATTTTATTGATGTTAAATTACAATAGTACATGGTTATAAATATAGAAAAGGATCCAGAAGCAAGTACATAGTACTTATGTAAATCCGTCTCCTTATAGACATAACAGCAGCTATGGATCAGTACTGACAATATTATAATTCATATAAATATATATATATAAAGTATAACATGTACAGGGAAAAGAGAGAGACAAGATGCAAGGATTTAAAGTGGAATGGGGATGATGTTTGATGGGGAAGCGATGGGCATCAAAACTGCATTGAGAGAACAAGCGCTGATTGCATGAATACAAACGATATTTGACGAAAGAGCACTGTGTCTGTACATGTTGTGGAAAGTTTATGTAGTATGTTATGAAAACAAATTAAAACTACAAATGCAATTCTTAACTGGCACTAATGATCTGTAACACTCTACGCAGACCAATGCGATATTCAAGTAATTGCAAGTATCACCACAACAAACAAGATAACTGATATGAATGAAGTTAAAATTTCTTCAAAAACGTCTAGACTGAATGATTTTGAACACAGTCAAAAATAGTTTCATTTAAGTGAATTCGTAGTTCGGGTCTACCATAAAGTAAAAAGCATACACTATAGTTAGGAGACTAAAACATTGGATTCTCAGCTGCTGGTAGTTAGGACATTGGAGGAGGATTTTTTTCGAGTTTCTTACCAACAGTCATTGTTACAGTTTTGTTAGGATTAAAATTTACAAGCCAAGTTTTAGACCAATCGTGAATTTTCATTAGATTATTATTAAACAGGTTTGCGTTCGGATCCGGTGACTCCACTTTGACATATAGAGACGTATCGTCAGCAAATAGCTTTATAGTACAATCGATGTCTTTGACAATATCATTTATAAAGAATAAAAAGAGCAGTGGACCTAAAATTGATCCCTGTGGAACACCTGCTGTGATATATGCTAAATAAGATTGTTTACCATTTATAACAACACGTTGACAGCGATTATGTTAGTACTCTGAGAACCAAGTAAAACATTTCCTGTGATGCCGAAAGATTTTAGTTTAGAAAGAAGGCCTCGATGCCATACTCGGTCAAACGCTTTGCTGATATCACAGAAGACCATTCGGACTTCTTTACCTTTATCCAGAGCAGAGAAGATATCATTAGAAATAGATAGAAGTTGATTTATAGTGGAATCACCGGATCTGAAACCAGACTGGAAGGGTGTTAATACAGATTTATCGATAAGATAGTTGTAAACATATTTATATACACAGCGTTCCAACATTTTCCCAACAATTGATAATAGAGAGATAGGACGATAATTACTTAAAGTAGATGGATCGTCTTTTTTAAATACTGGTTTCACATGAGCAGTTTTCCAAGATGACGGAAAAATACATTCAGTGAGCAAAAGGTTAAATAGGAATTGTAGTGGATAGCTAAGAATATCGGCAGCTTCCTTAATCAAACGAGGACTTATAAGGTCGGGACCAGATGCTTACAGTTTTAAGTGTAATTGGCTCAATAACCTTTGTTGAAGCCATTGTCATTATCACTCGATAATGACAGTCTTTCTCGTGCGCGTAGTGATACCTACACCGTGTACATATCCATTGCTATTTTCGGACGTAAGCAGAAGTACCGGGTATACGATTTGTAAACAAATTCTAAATCTCCGAACAAAAACCTCATATAAATTTGGAAACGATGCCATTTCTCATGTAATAAAATAGAAAGTACGTAAATTGTTTTGTGCGTTCACCCGAGGCTGACGCGGGTGACGGCAACATGGCGATTGCTCATCGTGGGAACTTTGACGTTATCGCCAACTCTAGCACAATCACGCGTCCCACAAAAAGTAGTTCCGGCATTGACAGGGCTCCCACACAAACTCCCATCTCAAATGCGTCGGCTTTGTCTTCAATTCAGTCCGGTATGTTGACAAATTCATCGTTCACAAGCTGCTCCTTCAACTTAAATAGAAGCGTGTCGCGAAGCATAACCGTATCACACATCGGGCTTGAATAGAATATTTGTAATCTTTCCGCGGAATATAGTCCGGTTAAAAAAACGCGTTTTGAGGAAACTTTCTTTTTAGTTTAGTTGATCGAACTAAACAGAAAGTTAATCCTTAAATGACCGCAGATATTTTAATTTGCTTAGTGTTATCATTTGTCAAAATACATCGTGAGAAAGTATTATATAATCCCTGAAGACGTATGTTTGGTATTGTGTTTATCAACACTTTTAATTTCAATTTACTAATTGTATTGTTAATTCCTCGAGAATGGGAAGATTATATTCTTTGTGTCTGCGAAACCGATTGCATTTTCACGACAAAAGCTACTTTGTTTGCTCGTTCAGAATTAACGGACTCGCGACAGGTAAGGTAATATGAAGACGGATGACTAGCGAAACACCGGCAAAACGAAAGAGTGAGGGAGTGCAAAACAGGGAGATTGATATCAAGTGTTGAGATGGGGCAACCGTTCAATTTTTTTTTGTTTTTCAATGTTCCCTCTGCAGAAGACATGATTCTGCAGGGGGTCCCCCATTAGCCGTCTCTTACGCAAAGCAGCAGGCCTTTTCTATCCCCCGAACCTGCAGGATGTAGATAAGGTGATTGCACATTTAAAATGTTGTAAGAGAAACAGCTAAAGCTTGTATGCCAAAAAATGAATAACGCTGCATCAAGATTATATTCTTCGTATCTGCGAAATTCTTTATGTTTTCACGACAAATCTAGACAAGTACAGAAGCAAGTCATTTAATTGTTTTCAATATTGATTAATATTTGAAATGTACAAAGTCAGTGTCATTTGACAATAAGTGCACAATGCTTCGAGCGATTCAACCATTGCACTTAATATCCTTTAATACGTGTAAATTAATTGACGTTCCTTTATTCATTACTGTCAGTATTTATGCACGCAATCGTCATCTATCTGAACCCAATCAAACTATTAAATCATTTTAAGACATACGTAAGTGATTTACGTATAACATAATATAAAAAAAAACTTATTTTGACGTCATTAGATTGATTTGAAACAATGGCGGACTAGACCCATTCACATCCTTCCATTGAAGCGAAAAACTATTCATATTTGTGCCCAAAATACAGGTGTGGCGTTTATGTGAACATGACAGGTGAGATTAGTTTTTATTCCGTCACAAGTTTGTCGCGATAATACTTTTATCAGTTATCCATTTCCTTATTATGTATAAGCGAGGTAAACAGTTGAGATATCGATTCAGACCGAGAAAGAATATTGAAAGGAAAAAACCGCGATCCACATAGACGTTTTTACGAGGCATTTACGAGATGGCTGTAGTTTTAATTATCGTAACACTGTAAGTATTACTGTAATATACGTTATATTTAAAAGTAGAAATATGTCAGAATGACATGAAAGTCATCCCTTTATTCTGTATGATCATTTCCCGATATATCATTGACCAAGCTACAACGGATATATTTACACCTGTCAATCAAAATGGTAAACTAATACCAGGTGTAAATACATACATGCTGTTCAGGTAGCCGTGCCAACACATGGAACTGATAAGAAAGCATGACGCAAATATAACGTTAGCGTTGACTGACACCTCGAATATGGGGAGATCTGAGCGCTGACACGGTCAACTGGTATGGGCAGAACAGGTAATTGGAATTTAACGAAGCCTTTTTTCCACGACAAGAAGTTTCAGAAAAGATTCAATCTTATTTACGGATAAATCGGTTTTTTTTTTTTGGTTATGAAATACACTTTTCCAAGTAGTTTTCTGGTCGTCTGCAAATCCGACTGAATCGGTCATCGATATCGGCAGAATGTGTACGCTAAAGGCAGTCACTCAAACAGGTCCGACGAGGACCGCCAACAGCCGAATTCGCGAGATTTGAAAAACACCAAACAATTGTGGTTTCAGCAATTCTCCTTCGAAAAGAAAAGATCGGAATGTGTTTGTCTGTTTTGAACCCGTTAATATCTAGTTTCAAACTCAAACTCTTATCATTATCGGTTCAATTCGCATGGATGTCACCTTTTAAATTCCTGCCGGTTAATAGTAGCACACGACCTTGACTCTTTGCGGTTCACCAACTTGCTAACTTCACCACTTTACCGATGTAGTTTTGACACAATCCTACTGTCAAGATTGAAGAGTTCAGCATGATTTTACCCAAGAACGACATTTTAAGCACAGAGTGATAAATGCGATGCAAATTCTTCGTTATGTTTCCCGATACGTGGTATTTATCAATACACAACGTAACGTCCTGAAAAGTTGGGCCTACTTTACTCGAGTTTATTTGTCCGATTCTATCGTATAATATGTCTTAAACTTGCAACTTTTTGTAATTGTTAGATTGGCAATGAAAAAAGGATTATTCAACGAAATTTAGCAGTTTTATAGGTGCGAGCATATTTTAAAACATTTCTGAAAATCCTCGAAAATATTACGAGAAATGGTCGCGACTATATGCAAATATCAAGGGTAGGCGTTGGTCAGACATAATATTTCTAAATCAGTCAATAACAATTTATAATACGACAGTTTAACCCTTCGGGAACCTCAAAGGTGCCTGATTCATACTCGGAACATCTTAAGGTTATATGTAATTCCCGTGGGAAATTTGGAACGCCTTTAGGTTTTATACTATTCCTGTTTAAAAGGAAAATTGATACATGAGTTATCCAAGAGCTTGTAATTAGCGCCTGGCATATTCCGACAGAAGCATACACTTACCAGCCCAAAACAACAGAGGTCAAAATCTGGGACTGAAACCGAAATTAATAGTCCCCATTGGAGTTCCCCCAGGGGTGACTGAAAATCAACATCGTTAGGTATGCTATGAACATGAGGGTTTTATCAAAGCAATGCCGCGTTCAGACTAAACCAGTTTCGTAAAATGTCATTATGAGGTCATCATGTTTACAGATATAACTAACAAACAAAAAACCAAAAAACAGTGAATCAATGAAGAAATAAGAACAAAATAATAGCAATGCAGTAACATTTGTTGTTGAAATTGTGATTTAAACTGCAATAGCGATCAAGTACATTTGATTATGTTACTGTCATTTATATTTTTAATTTGGAATAGTGATCTAATGAATTTGATTATTTAACCGACTCAATTTGTTTGATATGGATATGTCATTCAGACTGATGTCCCTATTATGCGTCCTATGACTGGTTATATTGTAATGGACGGACTTGCTATCTACTCCAATGACTTTGTAACACGACACATTTGATTATGTTAAGGTAATTGCCTGCAGTTGTATCATGGAGATACTGCTGTATTTATCTACGACTCATTGTAGTTGTGATAAATGGAGACTTTCTAATATGGTATGACAGCTGTCCGTCATACCATATACGGTTTTATTGGCACAAGTATTGTCGAAACAAAACGTTCCAGAACTGCATACATTAGCGAATTGGTCCATTGTGCATGAACATTCTATTGTTATCAAAATAAACGATAAAATGCATGTTTGGCATTTGTAAACTGTTTATATAGAAAAACAAAATCATAAGTGGCAAATGCCTCACTCTGATTTACAATATTAAATATTTAACACATTTCTTCATCCATGAGATTTTACATAAATAGATATAAATATACCCAATGATATAACCAGGATAGTTCAGTATCTGTTATAACGATTAAGGACTTTTCTTTCGGTGAGGATGTCGTTTTATGGACAAGACCTCAGTTTCGTTTCGGTTACTATCTCATTTTCAGGTCCATGAAATAACATGTTCACCTCATGGACGTCCATAATCGATACATATTTCATGAAACAAATCATATTGTCAATCACGTTGAATACATATTACTCACTATGCCTTAGATTTTGTGACACACTTTTTCAACGGCGATAGGTTTTCTTGGTGTTCTTGTTGTTCAAGGGTGTATCAAAAAGCATGAGATTGTCGTAGAAGCAAAACCCGAGATCGGGCATGAAACACACGAGGAAGAGATTAATTTGGTAAAGTTTGTGGGTTGGGTATGCGTTCAATCAAATGTACAATTTATGATAAATCTTCCTTCCGCAACATCTAGCCATATACTTTTTCAATGGTCTTGGTGTAAATATTCTTTTGTTCATATTTTGCTTTAGGTTATAAAACTAGAGTTCAAGCTGGGGTTTTGTTGCCACTTATTAATATTCTCTTGGTTTTCCTTTATCTGGACAGTACTCCGATGGTCGTCTATAAATTAAAAACAGTCTAGATAATTCCAAGTACCAAAGAATAACTTGTTTGTAGCTCATGCATCGAATATATAATTCGATAATTAACAATTGTGATGTCATCAGTAATAAATGTATGTATCCTGTTATAAGCGATAACCCTAGTCGATAAATGTATGTGATGTATTGGATTCGAAAACAACTTATCCTTGAAATTATTTTACCACGTCAAATGATATTATTTACTGTCTTTAAATTTATTTCCAATAAAACAGTACTATTTAGTATATTAACTTAACAATTATCATGGCAGTGTATGATAATATGTGACCCCAATAGACGGCTCACGCGATGATATATGTATGTACAATGTCTCCTTTCTAATAAATAACATACCAGTAAACTAGCACACGAACAAACCTAACGGCAGAAAAACCCAAATAAATTTCGTAATTATTGTTGAGTAAACGGCACATTCACTTCATTAATGATTTCTTTTAATTCAATTTACTTTAGAATGCTATTAATCTTTATCTTCTTTATGTTTTTAGATTAATTACGAAGTCGTTCTATCCCAATGTGATAACCATATACAAATGCAAATTTAGGTCACGAATAATCCTCTTCATCGTCCAGTTCAGGTAACGCTTCAGTCACCGCCAAATCGTCTAGTTCAGGTAAAGCTTCAGTCACTGTCACAGCGTGAAGACACTGTAAAGAGAAACTTCTGATTTTTTTTCTATAAGTGTATATCTGAAATGTTTGACGCCTGTCTTGTTACATTACATGTACGTAATGAATCATTGTTAGTTAATATACCATACATATTTCATGTGTGTCTGTGTGAATGAATATATATATATGCACACACAGAAAGCAGCAGACGGGCATTAACAGACCTACCACTCACAGATGAACATGGTAAGTAACTAGACCCTATCCACTTATAATCTAATTGTATGAAGTTCAAAGCAAATAATGAGTTTTATTTCAGGGTTTGTAACCTATAATGTGTTTCCATGACGTTACTAAGGCGTGTTTATCATACGGTCATTGAATCATCAAATTATGTAATTTGTTTACAACTTTACACTAACAATTTGTTAAAAATATTATTTGAGTCTTTTTGATTATATGAACCACCTTTTATACAATTTGTCAACCATTTGTTGAATAAAAATACATTTTAGCATTTATATTTTTTCTACTATGCATAATTTCTATAAAGCGGACGTGTGTTAGTACTACTCATTATTAACAAACATTTCGAGATTGTTTATCATGTCAATTACATACAAGCATGTTTGTACAGGCTTACCATCACACTGTGACTACATATTGTCCAAAGACACTGGATTATTTTTCTTTCATTTTGTCACCGAGTTTGTTTTAGTTTATTCCCTGTCTACTTTAATAGATGACTGTGCATCAATAAAACAAATCGATCAATATTATTTTGTATCAGTTCATTCAGAAAAAGATTAATGTCAGGGCACCAGTTTATCGAAGTTATTGAATATAAAAATATAAATATTATCAGAAAAAACATTTCAAAGTTCTTATGATGGTTAAATATAAAAGAAACAAAAGACAAGAGTTTCTTCGACTTTACTATCGCTTTCTCCTCTTTAGAGATTCATCAGCGGAAAAATGTCTTATGTAACGACGTAATAGAAGATTGATAATTACATTTTATCACCAAGAGTATAGGACGTCTTCTGTGATTCTCAAATCCAACATAACCACAATAATGTTCCATTAACACTGCTAACACGTCAAAGGTTGAGTTGATGAAGAAATATTCTAATCATTCCATTTAGAGTAAGATGTGTAACATATAATCCATTTTAACATTGGTTGAGAAGAACCATATACTTGTTTCCCCAGCTATCGTTACTTACCGATTGATCCCTTCAAATGCATGAAAATAATGGTTCAAAAACATTATTCATGCATTAACATCCCTTTTTTTATTGGATATGAGTTTTATCATTTTCTCTAAATTGGAAGTTGCATTTTGCATATAGAGTGGTTTTAAGTGAGACGAATGCTAAGTTGTCATTATTCTAATGCATGTATTTATGTAAGTTTTCATGAAATTATGACTGTCCGGGCATAAGTTGAAGTATAAAGCATTGCATAAATGGCCATTACGATACGAAGTCATGTAGATAAGCTAGCGAGCTCGACGTATGAGGGACAATGAAGTACATAATGAGTTTTACTTGTCAGGAAATGTAGGAACCCATGTCGAAATTGTTATAAATGTAATCATGTGTCAACGTCACTAAGGAAATTTATTGTTCTATAGTTCATCAAAACGTCATAGAGTATGTTGATCTGAAAATTGGAAACTTACAGATTAAGAACCTTCTAAGAAGGCAATAAAACAATATTTTATTTTTGTATTACGACTCAGATAATCAATTTAGAATTAATTAAGACAAAAACTGTCTTCCTTCGTCACGAACAACTATTTGCATTTCCTATTTTAATAAGGCTTGTATGTCTACGTGATAAACTATCAATGTATCATAAGTCACGTGATATAAAATAGCAACATTGTTTGTTTTTGTACAATGTTTTAATTGTTACTTAATAATATTGACACTTCTCGCCATTTCGATAAATAGCTACCAGATGTGATTTTGTTTTCGCTGTCTTGTCATAATAGTGACATTTAAGAATAGTTATTCTTCGTTTTTGTTTGACAGGTCAATTTTTGTTTACATGTATGTTTATTGACAAAATGATGGGAATGACTCCAATGTATACCAAAATAAAACAAATCTTAAATGTGTGCACACATAGGCCTGTTCAACTGAAAGCTCTAAGAATGGTTTCTAAACCTTGATAAAATGATCCTCGAAAGTCACATAATAGTTAGTGCCTCGATACACCTTTAAATAATATTTTCCTGCAGAATAATTTAATAATCCGATTAAATGTTGTTTATGATATAGGTTTTAAGTTTCTCGTTTATTTTGTTACTTTGTATGGTTCTGATTTTCCTTTACCTTAATGTTTTATAATTAATTTTTCCTTCAACTGTACAAAACCACAGACAGCGTGGAAACACTGTAACACACTAATCGTATTAGCTGTACACTGTGGTGTATTTGTTCATGGATTTTCAGCTAAGATCACGGCGGGAGTCCAGAGAGAGAGAGACACACACAGTCGCCGAGCGGAAGATAATGAAGGAGGAAAAAGGATGGATGGAGGTCAAAAGTGTTGCAATGGGATTTAGTTTTATTCTGTTAAACACCCTATTGGTAGATGGGATCGTTCAGGACGTGTTTTTTGTGAATGTTATGTACGCATGCTGTTGTGTATGTGTGCCGGAGCTGGTATGTTGGTTTATTTGCCTCCTTGAAATAGCGCGGATACGATGCCGACTTTATAATGCTATCTCACTGAAATACCATGCCGAAGTAATATTTTAACCGGTCGCATACGCAGACAACGGTTCAACCATTTGTCGTCATTACTGGACAAAACAAGAGATCAAAATTGATATGTTTCTCCTCTGCAACACTTTACGTTTTCTACCTTCCCTGTCTTCTTTCTTTTCTGTCTACTTTCTGTTTCAGGCGGTGTCTCCCTTGGCACCTGTCCTCTTATAACCCTGGTTGTTGACTACCTTAAATCACTGAAGTTGTTAATAGGACGTTTAAATAAAACCAAACCGAACCGAACCGGAAATGCTGAACGTTTAACAAGTAAATCAATTTTGGTGTGTTCGGTGTCCAATAAGCAGGAAACACCATACCCCACTAGTAGTGCATCTTCAGCCTAAAATGAATGGGACTGTTTTTTCTTCTTCACATATTCGATTTGCATATCTGGTATACACTATAAACACATTTTGCATTAACTTTAATTATATATTACACGTTTTAATACCAACTGCTAGATAATTGTTATCCAGTGCCGGAGTAAGCAGGTTATGTGCTTGACAATAAAACATACAAATTTAAATTCAAATTTAATTAACAAACACACGATCAGCATCAAGTTCACTTGAAGGCTTGTTAAGATTACATTAACATGCTTTTTATAGACTCAGTATCATACACTAACTATTTTGACCACAACCATCAATCAAAAAGTTTCATTAGGTCAACATTATATTTGCGAAGTTGAGTCATGTCTGATGACAAAAATAAATTTTAAATTGAATATATGACTATTAATAAGACATCTTTTATATGCCGGATGTATATTATATATATATATATAATATTATAATTTACACATGATAACAAATGAGAACATTAGATATAAAATAGATATTCATATATATACTAAGATTGCCAACAGATAGCCAATTTACTGCTTACTCGGTCATGCTTTTAAAATTAATAAACCACATAATAACCCAACAGGGAGCCCTAAGGCCTACTTATTTTCTATCTATTAACAGGTGGACACTTAGAGATACAGAAAATGAAATAGTGCAAGGTCTGAATTGGTAGTGTTTGTAAAACAAAAACCGCCAGCGCAATCTAAAGCCATGATCCTTTAAAGGGGGCTTGATTTGCCATTTTTGTAAGGAACAACTCGCTATTACCAATTGGACGTCCAATGCGTTACGTTATCTTGAGAACACTCTTTTACATCATTCATGTAAACCTCTAGAAGAGGTGTAAGCATCGCATGCAAGAATGACGTAAACGACCAAATTATATTTATTAACTAAAATGTTTCGCAAAAATTCAGGTAAATACATTATCATATCCAAATAAAGTTGTCTATCTCTTGAAACCAATCAATGGCTGTTCCTTCCTGATTGAATCTGAAACGACTTTTTATGCAGGAATAGGCCTAGTATTCAGGACCAAATTTACTTAATCGGCAAAACAAACAATATTTTCCAGTAAAAATACTCAATATGATATACGGTTCTTTATTATAATTGATTCTGTTAACTTTGATTAGTCTGGTTTGGTTGTATTTGATAATCGTCATAACAACAGCTAAGGTAGTTTAAGGACGTGTGGTGGAGACAAAGTACGTGTTAACGTTGATGATAACAACCTGATGGTAGCATTTAGGTATAAAACGTACTATTTGGTGCATTAATTAAACGGTATTTATACGCGTTTGTCTAAAGTTTAATTACGTTAAATTTATTAACGGTACAGAATTATTTAAGATCCTCTACATCGGACTCAAATAAATAAACTGTGAAAACAGTTCCAATTTTTATAGAATTTCGGAATTTTACTGTTGGTGCCGAGATTACTTGTTCTGGAAGATTGCTCTTTATTTTGACTACGCGCAGACAAAAAAACAACATTTTCCTGATATCAAGTTTACAATGCTGTGAAAAAAGCTTTTTCGAAGGTCCTCTTGTCTTGACGGACATACCTTAAGATATAGGTCTTAAGGTATCATAATTAAAGTACGCCTAGTAAGAGATCAATTGAAGAAACCTACATTGCTCCGCTGATCCGCTTTCTCTATTGTAACTCTTGAGACATGTAGCTTTGCCTTTATTCTTCTAACTGCAGTATATTTCTGGCAGTGCGACTCATGCACCTTTCCTTATGTGACCTTAACTGTAAGTGAGACGTTGACAAAACCAAAACACTGTATAAAGTACATGTATTAACACCCAAACAATGAGTGGCAGTGTAAAATGGTTGACTGGTGCACGGTTGCTTGCAGCCACCCTGCTATTCTTAGCGATTACTCAGAGTGACTGATTCTGTGTGGGAAAATACCGTACAAATGTTACAACACCTACATATTTGACAGTTTCTCTGCTTTGTATGATGCAACAGTCTTATACAACTTCAAATTTCCGGACCACCTATTCTTATTCTCCTAGTACTTTTCATAGGTCTTCGTGTAAATCTTGCCTTTATCACATTTTGCCCTAGTTTTATTGACTATCAGTTCGAATTATTTTGTTG